TGTGACGTTCAGGGTCACGTGTGACGTTTAGGGTCACGTTCAGGGTCCGTGTAAATGTTCAGGGTCACATGTAACGTTCAGGCAGTGGTGGGCTGTCAGGGCCTACAAGGCCTTCTCTGCTGGCCTAAACAGAATCACAAAGCTATATATATATTTAAAAAGAAAAAAAAAAAATCTATTTTATAATTTAATAATTTTTCTTAAATACACTACATGTATTATAATTTATAAAAATATTTTTCCCATTATCTTATGTTCTCATTGCACAGCTACTGTCTTCCTCAGTTGCTCTGCTTCCAGTGCAGCTTGTTTTAAGTAGAGCTTTTATCCAATCAGATCTCACCTCTGTGTCTCTAGGTAAGAACAGAGGCCCGAGGCCTGCAGACTCTCACCTGCAGCCAGTGCAGATTAAAGTAAATGGGGACGATATTGTTGATTGTCAGTGTTCAACCAATCAGATCTTTAGTTTGACATGTTGGGCGTATTCTTTGACTATCAGAGCCTGCGCGCCGGCCTATAATGACGTCAGCATTACATGCCGCCAGTGTCTGTGTGTAGCTTTCCCGCGAGGTGCAGAGTGCGCTGTGATTGGTCAGTGGGCGAGCACGTGACTATCGTGAAACGAAACTTAACAGCCAGCAGAGGCTGATGGGTAGTGAATCACATCACGTGATGCAGCTCAGCCAATCAAAATGCATCCTGACTGACTGAGCTGCACCATGACACAGAGGACTGAGACGAGGAAAGACACTGCAGAGCAGTATGGTCAACATTCAAGTTGTGAAAGTAAAATCCTATGATAATCTCTTTGGGTCGCAGCTTGTCATTAAGGAATAACTGTAGGTCCCACAGCCAGACCAGCTGAGAACATTATATTTTCCTGAATTTAGGCTTTTGCATTTTCTAAATGCTGTAGTGTTATTCAGACCACTCGTACCGAACGGTTTAATACGAAGATGTAGATAGTTACAGCCTTAAAAATGAATAATAGCTGTGACGCCATAATGTGGTTATAAGGTGTTATTTCAGTGAAGGCCCAGGTATAAAATGCACAGCCCGCCACTGCCTGTCGGGCGTCTGTGGCCACCTGTCGGGCGTCTGTGGCCACCTGTCGGGTGTTTGTGGTTACCTGTCGGGCGTTTGTGGCCACCTGTCGGGCGTTTGTGGCCACCTGTCGGGCGTTTGTGGCTACCTGGGCAGGACGTTGTGGTCGACCAGTGTCAGTCGCAGGCGTCCGTCTCGGTGCAGCGCTCGCAGGTCCAGCTGATCCCTGAACAGCAGCAGGTCTGGAGACAGATCCACCTGTCGCAGCAGGAAGACGTTGTCCGACCGCAGCAGCAGGTCCGACTGCCGGATGTTCAGCAGCGGGACGACGAGCGTCTCGGAGCGTCCAGTCTGACGGAGATAGAGACACTCAGGTACACGTCCACGCCGAGGACACACACCGGCACTGATGGGTCAGAGGGCTCACCTTGGACAGGAAGTAGGCGTAGGTCAGAGCACACACCATGGAGTCCACGTCACAGGCCTCATTACCTAGAACCACATGGAACCCTGAACCAGCTGGGTCCGGATTCACCTGGAGGACATTTTATTTATTTAAAAATGTAGCTCTGAGAGACAGAAGCTCATCAGAGCATTAATAAAATAAAACTAAACAGACTAAAGGTGACGTAAAACAAACACACCTTCAAAATAAATAAATAGATGAAACGTTGGAGTTTAGTCTTTAAGATTTGTCTCTAAATCTCTTTGAGTCCCAGAAAAAGTTATTTTAGAGAAAAAAAACTAAAAAGTACACAAAGAATCACAACCACTGATATCAATAACTTCTTGTATTTAGTTTGTATGCGATTCATTTTGAAATGATCACTCTACACTTTTGATTGGTTTATTTATTCCATTACTATTAAGAGTAAAATTAAAGGTTTTTTGATCTCAATTTAAACAGACAAGAAAATTGATAATAAAAAATAAAAATAAAAAAAAATATATATACATATATACACAGTATATAGTATCTTGACCCACGAGCTTAAATGTTTTCCTTCTTGTTACTTTGAACATGTATTGTGTTGTTCCCTGACCGGAAGTTTACTTTGAAAGGTGCAACTGACAGGAAGTCAGACATATTAGGTTCCACCTTCAATAAATAATGTTGTAAACAGTTAGCCTATGTGGCTAACGCTAAGTAACCAATAACATTACAGAGCTAGTTAGTGATTGGCCGAATTCCAATGTCCCTCCTTACGGACTCACGGACTTTGAGGCGCGCTCCCGCGAAGTCCTTGAGGATTTAGTTCTGTCCCACTGTCAAATCATCAAGTGTTTGAGTCTCTGGCAGACATGTTGAGCCCTTTATGAACCTTCTCCGTAATGCCTAAGGGAATTACCCACAAGTCATTGCAATGTGACGTTAAACACGGGGTAACCAGTGGACGCATGTAGACGTAAACAAAGAGGACGGATCAGTGTGTTCAGCCTGTCATATTAAATGTACTCAGAAACATTAAGGGTTAAAGATGGAACATTAAAACATGAAATCAGAAGATATTTATTTATTTATTCATCAAATGTTTGATTTCGTCATTGAAGCTGTTTTGACAAAACGAGTAAATAGATGATATGACGTTACCTCTCATCTAGTGAGGAAAGAGCCTGAAGACGTTCACATCAGGGAGTACAAAGTATACAATAAATACACACATTATACATCATATTTATTGTTGTTTTCATGGTAACGTGATATGTTGCAGCAACGTGCTGTCCCGTTCATATTCACACCATCTCAAGCCCTCACAGTCTCTCACACTCACCAGGTGACGTCAGTTAGTCATTGAGGGTTCAGGGTTTGAGGCTTTAGGGGGGACACTGGGATTTGGCCTGTGTGTGTGTGTGTATATACGTGTCTCTGTGCGCGTGTATCTATGTGTGTGCGTGTGTCTGTGCGTGTGTGTGTGTGTTACCTTCACGGCCCCGCAGCAGCTCGACAGAAACTCCTCCATCTTCAGTTAGCCGTTAGCTGCTAACTCTGCAAGCTGTGGCCGCTCCTCCTCTGACCGGTTAACGGATCCGGTAAACGGTGACAGACGGGTCACCGAGCGGCGGGCTGTCAGTCACACAGACACTCACGCGCTCCCGTTACCGTAACCGTGAACGAGGATGACGTCAGTAACGTGCTTCTGGGTAAAAGGTCAGGAGGCGTTCATGGTACAGTGGAAACGTTGGAAATATGAACTTTCTCTGCTCGTGACTTTGTAGAGGAAATAGAACTGATCCTGTTTGCTCAATTAATTATATGAATTAATTCATAGCTAAATTACATTTATACTACACATTTAAATAACACACCGGAAATATGCTCAAAATATATAAAAACTAGAGGAACAGGGAAATGAAAACATTCTGAATTAATCATTTTTTATTATTATATGATATATATATATTATTATATGATATATATATCATTATATGATATATATATTATACAGAATATTATTATATGATATATATATTATTATATGATATATATATTATATTATACAGAATATTATTATATGATATATATATTATATGATATATATATTATATGATATATATATTATACGATATATATTATTATATTATACAGAATATTATTATATAACACAGAATATTATTATATGATATAGAATATTATTATATGATATATATTATTATATGATATATATTATTATATGATATATATATCATTATATGATATATATATTATATTATACAGAATATTATTATATGATATATATATTATACAGAATATTATATGATATATATATTATACGATATATATTATTATATTATACAGAATATTATTATATAACACAGAATATTATTATATGATATATATTATTATATGATATATAATATTATTATATGATATATATATTATACAGAATATTATATGATATACATTATTATATGTATACATACATATACACAAACATACATACACACACATACATACACACATACATATGTATACATACATACACACATATGTATACATACATACATACATATATATCCACACATACACATATATCCACACACACACATATATCCACACACACACATATATCCACACACACATACATATATACATACATACACACATATATATACATATACATATATATATACATATACATATATACACACACACATATATATACACATATACATATATACACACATACATACATATACACATACATATATACACA